TCTCTCTCTCTCTCTCTCTCTCTCTCTCTCTCTCTCCCTGCGTGTGAAAATGTCGCGTATGCTAGCATCGGATGACAAATGGTCGTTCCATGTGCCAAAATCATTCCATGTTTAACGTGAGTGTTTGTGAATTCGTGCATGTCAGAATCTTTTCATAAGGCTGAAGAGAATGGCTCCGAAGCCAAGGTACGAGAATCTGTGCAAGTCCTTGAAGTCCACGGGGAGGAGAGAGAAGGGGGAGAGGGCAGCAAAGGAAGACAAGGAGGCAGTCAAGCAAAGACATAGCATAAGGGATATTCCCCAATTGAAGCGACAGGAGACGAACACAGTCCGCGGGACACAAGCAGTGCTCTCTGTCCCGCCGCGGAAAAAGCAGATGGGGAAACTGGTCGAACACAACAAAACACCTGTCGCAAGTCCCCTGCGGTGGAAGAGACACGACGACAGTGAGAGGCAGCCCCCAAGAGCGCCAGAGAAGAAAAGACGACATGAAAAAGCACAGCTGCAATAACAGAGAACAAAGAAGAGAATAATTTACAGAAAAGACAGGACTCCTGAAGCAATCGACCTCAAAGGGTCACACGATTTACAAACCACCGCTCAGGAGGAAGGCGAAGAAGAAAACATCGGCGAAGAAATGTCAGAAGAAGTAGAACATGAGAGAACGCAAGAAGGAGGAGAAGGTGACGAAAGTGATGCAGAGGAGAGCAATCCGGAGGGAGACAGCATCGGCGACAACATGGACAGATCCGAAGAGGGCGAAGAGGAAGAGGAAGGCAACAGTGAAGACGAAGAAATAGAGATTACATCTCCTGAGAACAGTGCAAAATGCGGAAGTGATGAAAAAAAGGCAGGCGCACTAGGGACTTCATCGAACGACAAACAAATTGTGCAGAGGGAAAATGTACCGCTACAGGGTAAGAGGAAGGGCGCCTTCTAAAGACACCACTATGTGTGCACAGCACGGTCGTTTTCGGTGTTACAGAAATGACAAGGTTCAGGGGGGGGGGGGGGGGTGTCGCGAAGTGTGTTCGGGGGTGGATCGGGGAGGGGGAGTGGCGGTCTTATGACAGTTTCTGATTGCAATACATAAAACACATATTGCAGAGGGTCTTCTTATCACTAAGCCATTAATCTGTTGGTCTGCTTTTTCTTTTTCCCCAGATTGCACTAATTTTCAAAGGCAAAGCAGCACAGGTGGAGGTAATGCTGGCGAACGAACAGAGCAACAGACCGGGGGTTTTACAAAGAAAATGAAAGACAGACTGTTTTGTTCAGTGGCGAAGGCCTTTGCTTTTTCAGCAGCAAAGAAAGCGACGTTGTACCCATCGGAGGACAATTTTTTCACGGCACTGCAAACAACTGCCAAATTGATAGGAGAACATGCCGAGGAAGGACTAAGGTTGCACGTGGCAGCGAACGGAATCCGAGCTGTGATCGGGGAATGCAATCGGATTATGACAACGGTCCGAGGGGATATATCATGGCAATTGAAGCATTGGTTTTGGGCCGAAAAAGGTCTGGCGCTGGTCCGGTCAGCTCAAACGGATCACCAGCTTCCGAGTCGCAATAGGATGCGGGCAGAGATGAAGGGGGACACAACATGGAGAAGGAGCGGCAATGATCCGTGGGGCGCTCCTCCTTTCAAGACAGCACTGACAAAAGTTTTTCAAATGAGAAGAGATGCGATCAACCTTGGCGTAACGTTGCAGCAACTTGCATTTGCGGAGCTGGTACTGAAAAGTGAAGTCGAGCAGACGGCAAAGACCAGTAAAGCAACCGACCAAATACAAAAACTTGCAGCTATCAAGAAAGAGATCGTTGCATTGGTCCTCTCCCGAGACACGGTCTTAAGCTTTTCTATCTTCAAGCTCGACCGTGCTGTTTCTGTTGCAGACAAGGCCGTCCCATTGTACAGAGCTGGGTTGCCTGCTGTGCAGAGAGGAGATGCCAATAACATGACAACAACAAATGATGATTTTGACCTTGAGTTCATTGCGCACACCGTGGACAAATGTGCGGGCGGAGAGAGAGACGAAGAACGTTTGTGCGCAAGGCCGTGAAAAGGAGAAGAAGGGGTCCGGAAGTGGATCGAGGGGGGTTGGGGATGGAACAAGGCCAGGGTGGGGAGGGAGGTGGGCGATGGT